TAGGAAAATTTCAAAGCTGCTATAGGAAGGAAAAAAAAACCCCCAACCTAATTTATCTTTGAAAATTGTTTTTTTTAAAAAAAAAAAAAAAAAAGGCACGAGGGGAGAGTCAGCCACAAAATTAAAGCTATAAAACTTGATTAAGTTATTAAGTTTTCAAAGCATCCACCCAGCAGAGAGAAAGAACCAGCCAGTGTGTGATCTGAGCGTTTCCCTCAGACGGAGGACACCGCACACACAGGGTATTTGTTCCCTGACAGCCACCTCCTCCCTCACCGCTTTTATGCTTCTACAGCAAAGATCACCATGGGCTCTTGCAATTAAAGAAACCACTGATAATTTGTGCCAAAGCCAGTGGCTGCCCCGAGTAAGAAGCCAAGGGAAAAAAAACCTGACCCATCTACTCTGAGGCTGAGTAAGAGGAGATCAGGAATGAGAGGTCTGATTGAATCAAAAATCATCATGGACCTATGAAAGCTGGTCAGTAGCTATTTATGCAACTACTATTATTTACCTTACACTGAATCTGGCATTTCACTTCATCAGCTTCTGGCGTTAGCTTTATGCAATGTGTTTCCTGGCAAGGGACACCCAATGACTCCACCTCCTCACCACAGGCTGCCCATGAAGCTCCTTCTCCACAGCCCCATGGTCTATGGGGAGATGGTCCCCACACCAGATCTCACTGGGAGAAGTGGCAATGGACAAGCCGGACTATGGAGGAAGGAGGTACCAGTTTGTGGAAACCGATGGCAACCCCTGGAGCTGTGATCCCAAGGCCACGCAAGTGGCATTCCACACACAGATAAACATCATGCTGGTCCACCAGACACCTGGGACGTGAGAGCTTCTGGAAGTCAGGAGCCAGCGTGTGCCAAAAAACCTGTAACCAAAATAAAACTCTGACTAATCCTTCACCTTTCTGGCCAACTCCGCAAACCCGTAACGCCATCTCAGAACTGAGCCAGTCAATAACGCTCAGAGAGCAACTCTTAAATCTATTGTGGGCTGATGTGGATTTCGACAGTCTACTCGTTAATTGGTGTCTCTCTTTATGGCCACATTAAACCTGAGTTCTACATCCTGCGCTGGCCAACGGCCGCTTTCCAGCTTGATTTAAGAGGTTGGTTTCAATCCATGAAGTCCTTAATGGCCTGGGACCTGCCTAGAGAAGAGAATGCTTCCCAAGACGTGCTCAGGATGGCCACACTGTACTGAAACCCTGGATGTACAGGGTCCTGCATCTCAAGACTGACTTCTCCTCCAGGACTACCACAGTTGGTATTTATCAGCCTCCTGGGAATGACGCAAGGCTTATTTTTTGCACAAGAGAGGCATTGGGTAGGGCTGGGCCATGAAACGGGAGGAAATTTCTGGGGGTGGAGGTGCTGAGTCAGTAGATCTGGTTGGGAAACACAGGTTCCTAATTAGTTTTTCAACAACAACAGAGGAGTGCACCATGCAAGTGGAAGAAGGCAAGGAGCAACTCTTCATCTAAGAGGCATCCACCGCCCTGGTGTCAGTCCCTTTGCAGACCAGTCAGCTCCTGAACCCACACTTTATTTGTGGCTGAGGACATCCAACAGAGCCGAGAGCACACCGTTCTGTGCAGGTCTAGATCCCCCAAATTGTTATTTTTTTGAGAGGACCTGAATCCTTGGCATTTACAGAACATCTTGCTGGTGACCCATCACAGCAAGAGAAGCAAGACAAGGCACATTGATGCTGCTACTGCCGTCTGGCTTGGTCAGCACAGGCTAAAATGAAAGGAGATAGAAATGGAGCCTTCAACCCAAGAATGAGAACTGAACCCACCAAAACCAGCCTTCAGGCCCTGGCTCCAGCCCTCTCTTCCTTCGTCGTACCCAGACAGGTGCTGGCCCTGGCTCCAGCCCTCTCTTCCTTCGTCTGATAGTTAACTGCTGATAGTTAACTCGGAAGGTCTTGTGGGGGATGTAAACGTTGGAGGCCGTCGTTTTTTTTAAAAAAAAAAAAAAAAAAGGCACGAGGGGAGAGTCAGCCACAAAATTAAAGCTATAAAACTTGATTAAGTTATTAAGTTTTCAAAGCATCCACCCAGCAGAGAGAAAGAACCAGCCAGTGTGTGATCTGAGCGTTTCCCTCAGACGGAGGACACCGCACACACAGGGTATTTGTTCCCTGACAGCCACCTCCTCCCTCACCGCTTTTATGCTTCTACAGCAAAGATCACCATGGGCTCTTGCAATTAAAGAAACCACTGATAATTTGTGCCAAAGCCAGTGGCTGCCCCGAGTAAGAAGCCAAGGGAAAAAAAACCTGACCCATCTACTCTGAGGCTGAGTAAGAGGAGATCAGGAACGAGAGGTCTGATGGAATCAAAAATCATCATGGACCTATGAAAGCTGGTCAGTAGCTATTTATGCAACTACTATTATTTACCTTACACTGAATCTGGCATTTCACTTCATCAGCTTCTGGCGTTAGCTTTATGCAATGTGTTTCCTGGCAAGGGACACCCAATGACTCCACCTCCTCACCACAGGCTGCCCATGAAGCTCCTTCTCCACAGCCCCATGGTCTATGGGGAGATGGTCCCCACACCAGATCTCACTGGGAGAAGTGGCAATGGACAAGCCGGACTATGGAGGAAGGAGGTACCAGTTTGTGGAAACCGATGGCAACCCCTGGAGCTGTGATCCCAAGGCCACGCAAGTGGCATTCCACACACAGATAAACATCATGCTGGTCCACCAGACACCTGGGACGTGAGAGCTTCTGGAAGTCAGGAGCCAGCGTGTGCCAAAAAACCTGTAACCAAAATAAAACTCTGACTAATCCTTCACCTTTCTGGCCAACTCCGCAAACCCGTAACGCCATCTCAGAACTGAGCCAGTCAATAACGCTCAGAGAGCAACTCTTAAATCTATTGTGGGCTGATGTGGATTTCGACAGTCTACTCGTTAATTGGTGTCTCTCTTTATGGCCACATTAAACCTGAGTTCTACATCCTGCGCTGGCCAACGGCCGCTTTCCAGCTTGATTTAAGAGGTTGGTTTCAATCCATGAAGTCCTTAATGGCCTGGGACCTGCCTAGAGAAGAGAATGCTTCCCAAGACGTGCTCAGGATGGCCACACTGTACTGAAACCCTGGATGTACAGGGTCCTGCATCTCAAGACTGACTTCTCCTCCAGGACTACCACAGTTGGTATTTATCAGCCTCCTGGGAATGACGCAAGGCTTATTTTTTGCACAAGAGAGGCATTGGGTAGGGCTGGGCCATGAAACGGGAGGAAATTTCTGGGGGTGGAGGTGCTGAGTCAGTAGATCTGGTTGGGAAACACAGGTTCCTAATTAGTTTTTCAACAACAACAGAGGAGTGCACCATGCAAGTGGAAGAAGGCAAGGAGCAACTCTTCATCTAAGAGGCATCCACCGCCCTGGTGTCAGTCCCTTTGCAGACCAGTCAGCTCCTGAACTCACACTTCATTTGTGG